CATGACCAATTACAGTAACAGTAAATGTAACCTCACTATTTTGAAATGATCTGAGTTATCCAATCAGCAATCAGTTCTGTGCATAGAGGAGGGTGGTACAAAAGTGCATTATAACAATGAATCACAATCTCTTGAATTTAGATCTACATTTATATACTATTGTTGAATGAATAAATATTTTTTTTTATATTTACAAAAAATTAGTTAACAACATTCAGAAAGAGTTTCTTTTCTATTCACAACTCTCATGAATACACCATGTTTCATACACTGTTTAATCCAGATTACTCGGTTGGTTTGTAATGACCTCATTGTTTAGAATTCACTTAGGGATTGGTCAGTTACTTCGGCCTAGGGGGGGTCGACAGATTCCATTTTGCCAGCTTAAAATTTCAGTTGACCCACCCCCTATCAAATAAAAAAAAATGGGTGACCCACCCCATCATTATATTTTAAAACATACTGACACCCCCCCAAAAAAAACCAAAAAACAAACAAAACAAAAACAAAACAAAAACAAACAACTACAACAAAGAAACATTAACAGTTCGGGTTCTGACATGATTACAAAATTTATCATGGTTTGCCATAATTTTGACATTTAATAGACCTTACCATATTGTAAGATAGTTTAAAAATATGATCTTACCCTTCTCCCAGACCTAGTTGTGTGATATGTACTCCCGTGACTCTCTTCATCACTTTTAACTTCTGAATCATCACTATCACTTTCACTACTGCTGTCTTCTTGGTTGCTTGAATCAGCCTCTGAACCACTATTGCTTTCACTGTTCCTCACCTCATACCTACTTGCACGGTGCATAGCCTGTCGCCACATACCTGCCTTCCTTCCTGATCTAGTAATAAATGTATTACTGCTATCTTCAGTCTCAGAATCAGAAATATCAGTATGTCCTATCTCATTGACAACAATGTCCTCCTCTTCAGAATCTGTCTCATCTATAGAGTCAAGTTCCTCACTTTCAGAAAAACTTTCAAGATGTTGACTTATTTGTTTTTTCTTCCTGTCATCTATTTCTGCTTTCCGTAGAACATCACATGTAATTGCCCGCAGTTTATCTTCTTTTTTCCCATGCTTTGTCAATTTATTATAATCCAAATACTTATTTAATTCAGAGATGGTCAGTGTTTTTAACCTTCCTTTCATGATTATATCTAACCAGTCATAATCCTTATAATCTCTCTCCTGTTTCTTCTGTTTTTGTTTTTGTCGATCTTTGCTTCTAATCTGCTTCAATTTCTTTAAATTATCCAGGTGCTTTAAATAATTAACTACATGGATGTCTCCCACTGCAAATTCTTTTCCAAATGATGTAATCACATCAGTGTCACCCACTGTGAGCTCACCATTTTGAAAGCGTCTAGTGATATTGACTCTTGGTTGCCAGTCGTCAGGTTGGCGAGGGTTTCCAGTATCATCACAATTTGGTGTCTGGAATACATCCATATAATGAGATGTCTTCTGTGGGTCAGGAATTGGCTGTGGTATTCTTTTAATTATAGGACCAGTGAAAGGATGTGTTTCACAATATTCACATAAGTTGCCATGTTCTAAACATCCAGTTTTCAAATATTCAATATACAGTTCACCAACTTTAAAATGGCTTTCTATAAAATTAAGAATCCTGCCAATGTAGGTTGACCCAGGAACAGACTGCTTAGCAGCTGCACTACTACATTTAGTGTATTCATGAATTAGGTGTCTATTGTCAAAAAAGAACATGTCCTTAACCTCTTCTGAGATATGTGCTTTGATGTAATCAGAAAGGACTGGTGCACCATCAATACGTCGAGCTACTTCGTCAACTACATCCCATGCCTTTTGTGCCATTCTCTTCTTCTTGTATTCTTCATAGTTTTCAACACTCATTTCATCAATATCATTTTGGGTCATCCCCTCAAATCTTTTATGCTTTTCCCAAATAATAGTGCTACCATCGACAACTGCATCACCTATGGCTGAATTTGTACGCTCTGCTTCTCCCTGCCCACTATCACCCCTGGAACGATGACAACGAACTCTGTAATCCGAATTGTGAATCATGGCCAATTCTGCTTCTCTGAACCTCACTTCTAGATTTGACACACCTACACCAGGTCCAGCGTCAGTGAGATCTGCCCATCTGGGTTTGACTGAAGGAAGACACATATCATCAAATATCACAGTGGCGGAAGTGCACTCTTTCTTCAGCTCATTACATGTTGCCAGAATCTCTTCACATTGGATATCTGGTCCTGTCAACTGTGTTAGTAGTGAAGTATTGCATGTGACTATTCTCTGTATGGCTGGAACAATACGAGAGGAAAATAACTTCATTTCATCAACTCTGCAATTACATGTCTCTAATTCTGTCAACGCAGCTTTGATTCGGCTCTGCAAGTGTTTTCTCCGTTCTAACTCATATTCCCTGTGTCTACAGTTTCTGTCCCCTGTAACTTTTCCTACATCTTTATCTTCTGTCATCAGCATGTAAAGGGCAAGGTCATCTCTTATTTGTGCACACAGTCCTCTATACGGTGAGCTATACAGTGGTTCTTTCTCTTGCATTACTTCAAAAATGTCTGGATGTTTGTGTCGTAATTTGTGTGTTTCTGAAGCCCAAACTGTTCCTGATAAACCAATCAATGCCTTTGGCTTTACAAATACAAAGTGGTTATCAGTGTCGGTGACTAAATGCTCTTCACCATTTTCTATTACTGGTTTCTTAGTGAATATTCTATGTGCTGATGGTGTTATATAAACATCCTTTTCTGGCCAATCATATTTCGGCAACTTCCTTGCCTGGTGAAAATCAGACAGTGTGGCAATCTTTTGTTTCCTGGTTTTCGCAAAACCTTCTGATGTGCCAGGACGTAGATAAGCTTTATCGTCAATACTTCTCATGAAGCAGTATTTCAATGTCTCGTTGTCACCTGAAAAAAATGTACGTTTTATGTTTTTCACATGGGCTCGTTGATAATGTGTATTTTCATTTGAAACATCTTCTGCTTTAGGTGGTTTCTTGAAACAGAATAGACCCCTTCCTCTATGCTGCCTTGCCTGGATTGAACATTTATTGCGAGGTATTGCTAGATTGTACACTGTTGTTGAAGATTTGATGAGCTTCTTGTTCTTTTGCAAAAGTCTATAATTTGCAATATTGAGAAGATCACCTTTCTTGACACGTCTGTTAGTGTACATCACAGTGTCGTGACGACGGCCATGATAGGTGCTTTTATCTTTGATACATTTTGCAATGAAATCCTCATCATCACTATCCAGCATTGGTTTGCGACCTTGTGGTACTAAAAAGCATTTTCTCTTCAGTCTTTCTGTCTCAATGAGAAAGTCTGCTTTTCTTTTTACTGCTTTATTCTGTCTTACCTTGTCATGCTTTGTTTCTGGTTTAATACGAACTTCAGTTTCTTTTAATTGTTCACATAAAATGTCTATCTTATTACGGACATTGTCAAGTTGAACCTCTGTTCATGTGTTCTTCTTTTTTTCCAGCAGATTTTCTAATGTTTCTATCTGTTTTGAAGTTTCAGTCTTCTTGGCTTCCAGGTGCAGTTTTATCATGTCTGTTGCAGCTATTGTAGCATTTTTCACTTCTGTAAACTCTGTCAGTATCTCTTGCAACATTGTCAGAATCAATTCCTATGTTTATTATTTCAGATCTTGACAGTGTAGAACTCAGAAGGACCCTTGCACAAATCTTATCCCATTCAGTATCCATAGTTGCAATAATGTTCTGAATATTTGTCTTAGATATATCAAATCTGGTAGGTTTTCTTGAAACACATGACATCACTACATCCAGAAATTTAGCATAGTCAAAATACTGAGAGTTTAGCACGACAAAACGCTTCCCTGTGGATATAGATAAACAACAGATTGTAATGAACTTATGATTTCTTTGTTTGTATATAATATTGTAAATACTTTATTTGTACTAGGATTTAATTTTTGCTATTTGCTATTTTCGCTGAAGGTATTTTTCCACTAAAACAAATTTCAGTGAAAATGCTGTTTTTCCTATACTTTACATTGAGTCCTGATACAACTCAGTGCAAATTTATAGATCCACACATAATGCCTGAATACTGTTTTATACACAGTACTGTGCTCATATATTTAAAACATGTCACAAAACCAAAACATCAATTTCATTTGGTAAATGTAAATGTCATTTTTAAATTTAAATGTCATTTTTAAATCAATAATTTATTATTAGACAACAAGTTAAAATTATTATAAAAATATAGATTATAGAATTTCCAATTTAGTTTTACCAATACAAGGTCTAGTAAAAAAACAAAATGTGATTATTACCAAGTCTATGTAAGAAAAATACTCCCAGGTGAATTGTTTTCAATGTATACAAAATTAAATTACAAATAACTCACCTATAGATTTCATTGTGACGACATTTACACATAATCCATGGGTAGGATGTAGAAGATTCACTTTAAATTGGTCTACATGTACTGTATTTGTGTGGTGCCTGCTGTACAGTTCAAACGCCTCAGTCATGGTCATATACCCCCTCATTTGACCAGCAGGAGAATCAATTTCAGTAGACAGTCTGTCATCAAGCATTAGATGATCAAGGATATCAATAAGGCCATTTAAATTTTGAAGTGTAGATTCTAAACATCGCTGCTGTGCCAACGTTTTCAAACTTTGTAGACGAATTTCATGAAAAGCAATTTACCAGCTGCCTCAAAATAACACCAAAAAAATATTTATATAATAATATTTTCACAGTATTACTATTTATTTCTTTTTTATTATTATTATTACTTATGTATTTTATTGTTCCTTATATCCTTATTGTATTCTAATCTAGATCCCAGAAGGGATACGACATCAATAAAGGTTGTTATTATTACATATGATTGTCACTTGGATTGGTACAGGGTTGAAGTGATGGCGATATAGAAACCTCATTGTACTCTACCTTTGCACTTCTTACAGCTTGCCTGCTTGTACTACACACCGATCTTCCAGTGATGTCCTTTGTATCTTTTCTCATACTGATTTGTGAATCATGCTTCAAATTTCCCACTGATAAACCCTGACCCCTGACCTGATCAGGACTACCCTATTCAAGATCGGGGTGTCAGTATTATATTATAAGCTCGGCATGAAAATAATTAAATTTTGAATACATAATTATTTGTTTGCCTGTAATTTATCTACTTTTAAAAATAATTTGCGTTTTTTGTGGCAAAAAAGTAAGAAACACAGTAATTTCCAAGTACATGACCTACTTTACCTATGCACATAATGCAGTGGCCCAGCATTGGAGAACATAAAAAACAAACAAACCCATGGCATTTCATTTCTTCTGCTAGCTAGGTGTCTGCTAGCTTTCAAGCGATAAGTACTTGTATTTCAAATGAGCCTGGTCATGGCCAGTCCAAAGCAAGATTTTGTTGGTTTATGAATGAAATCGGACGTGAATATGTGGATACCTTTCTCAGCAAAGATTATTTTGACTTTATTGCTGATCTTGACGACGATGACATCAGTCACCTTGGGTTGCAGCAAATGCCTGGAGTGGTCAAAACATTGCGACTGAGAACACGGCAATTAAAAGAACGTCTTCAGAAGCAAAAAATTGTGCCAGCTCCAAAAAAATTGAGACAAACTGGTAAGTAAGTTTGCACATCTCCCCAATTTTGTGTATACTGTAACTAATCTAAATCTAACTATGTTCGTAATACAGTGTAATTTATCATACTACCAGGTAGTACCTTTGCAAATGGGCACAAGACTCTTTAATGGGGGTTATTTTCGTTCAACGTAATTGCAATATTTTTTTGTTCGTACAACGTAAATTGACAAAATAAATTCCGTAATTGTGTAATCACAGGCTAGACGTACAACGTAATCAATCAAATATTTTTTTCGTACACTGTAAAAATGTGCAATTTTTCTCGGTACGTACAAGAATTTTCTAGGTTTTCTTTCTTAATCTTTTTTAGCCAGTACAATTCACAGATCATATTTATTTTGATAAATTTCAAATGCGTACATTTATAAAACTGCTATATTTTAATTATTGCTTGTTTGGTAAAATTGATTGTGTAAATTTTAATTGTATTTAAAATAGTAGAATATAATATATTCTGTTCTGTTTATCCAGTAATGTAATGATTGGTCTAAAAAAAAATTGGGTAGTTATCTTTTTGCGTAAAACCAGTAATTGTAATGATAAACTAATTGTCATCTTGGTTTTATAATTTGCCTACAGTGTTGCCTTGGGGATGTACATCAAAACCAGTACCAGATGAGGCATGGAAACAAACCAAGTGGTGGTATTCGTCACCAAAACAGGACAGAACAATGTATTATAATTCTATACTGCCAAATATGTTTTCAGCAGCACATCCATTTTTGCAAGATAATTTTCATGATTATCTACTAAAAGAAAGAGCTGATCGCTACCAACGTAAGCAAAAAATTGAATGTTGGGAAAAAAGCTTCACCTTTAACATGTCTGGTAATGAAGCAGCATATGGAAAGTTTCTAACCTTACCAGTGCCCCCCAAACCAGAGCACATTCCCCAGTGCGAAAAGGGATCAGTATCTTGAAGTCAATGATGACAGAAGTCAATGATGAGCGTAATACACTGAAAAAGGTCTACCAAAATATTTATGACACCAGTGGGAAAAATCTGAAGGTATGGGCAAAGGAACAGAACCAATATACTGTTGATATGCTTGACACTACAAACAAAGTCCAAGAGAAGATGCAGTCTTCATTAACAAGGCTGGAGTCAACATTGACACGCATGAAATCCATACTTGTTGGTTTAATAGGTACCAGGAGTCAGAGTAATGCAAGCAGACGAAAGAAGGAAGGGAAGCATAAAGCAAAAAACCGACTACAGAAAAGGCTGCAGGAAGGAGGGAAATCTATGCTGCTAAAGATAGTAAATAAAAGCAAAGCTGTGGAGTACTCACTTGATAAACGCCCTTATAAGATAGGAAAAGAAGATTTGAATTTAGGAGGTTTGAACTCTTTGAAAACTAATTTTGATTTAAAATATCTTTCATATCTTATAGACCAGGAATGCTTTACACCCGAAGCACAATCTGTGCTGATGAAAACAAAGGAAACTTTGATTTTTGCTTAAATTTGTGTTGGATTTTGATATTTTACAGAGCAAAATATGCCCATTTAAAAGTTAAAAAAAAAAACTATTTATTTATTTTTCATTATTTATTTTAATTTAAATATCAACATTTTCACAAATTTAATTTTTTTTGATTTGCTGAACAAAAACTGTTACAGCTCTTTTTACTAATTGCTGTGTTGTCTTTTCGTCTCCTGTTATAATTGTCTTTTTTGATGAAAAAGTGATATTTTTGACTTCTTGTTAAAAACTGCAAGTCTGATTACTTTGATACTATACATATAGAGGTAGACCTCTCTTAGATTTGTTAAATTTGTGATGATATCTTCAATTATCTAATGTTAATGAATATTTTTGTTGAAAACTGTAAGTCTGATTGCATTGATACTATACATATTGTTCATTTTCTAATGATATCTTCAGTTCTTTAATTGAAATGTGCATTGCTAACAGCAGAGCTATCTCAGCCGACAGGCTGCTTGTTTATCTTTTGTTCTGAAATAAATTTTTAAAAATATATGCATAAGCTTGTGTGTGAATTCTGGAAAACATGGTGACCCCCCCTATTCATGATATCAAAAACAGGGTGACCCCCCCTATCCGCAAAACAAAAACAGGATAACCCCCCTACTGATCCACCGACTCCCTCTAGATCGAAGTAACTGACCAATCCCTTAGATTCATAAATACATATTTACTTCATTGTTGATTTTTTCACTTATAGGTGTTATATCAATAGGTATTGGTGCTGTATATTTCAGTTTGGATAACATAGTATGGACATCTGTGTGCATTCTGGGTAGTTTTATAATTGCTATGTCCTGCCTGGATGATTGGGAGGTAAGAAATAATACTGTGCAGTAGACCAGTTTTGGATTTCCTTATAGCTTAATAGTCACCATGCATGTTGATTCACTCTTAGTCAGCAGAAATATGTTCAGGTAAACCCCTACTCATAAATTTGAATACCCAGGCTTCTATGACAGAAATATTATGCCATATTTTAAATTGTAGGCTGATGACATAAGCTGAAAAAATTATATATTGTTAATTATGTGCTACTTTTTCTTGACCTGAATTATTTTTAAAAGTGTCAAAAAGGATTTTTTTCTTTAACATTGTGTTCTGTTTAATAGTTCTAAGAATTGCATTTTTTTTTTGGAAAAAATTAGAACAAGTTTCTCAAATTACATCACTTTAACACACACAAAATAATGCTATTTCATGGTGCCATTGGACAATAGCTCCATGATTTTAGATAATAAACCAATGAACATTGTCATGTGATTTATGACCAATGTTCTCAATACATGTATTCATGAGTAGGCTTCTACCTTAAGGTATCTCTGTTCAGTCTCTGACACAAAAATAGATTTAAATAAAAAAAAATCACAAATGACTGGTTACAAAATTGACCTTTTCTCAGTTGTGAGTGAGTACACAGTAATAAAGCTACCAGGGAACTCAAAACTTAATGATTTATGAAATAATGAAATGTGGGAAATCAATTTTTTATAATCAGATGAGAATCATAAATTCTGTATTTATAAGTTTAAATTATTGATATCGGATCATAGCGCATATCGTATATTGTGACTAAATTATAACTTCATTATGCTTCATTGCTGAAGATGCAGTGAATAATAGCTTCAATTTTTTTTTTCTCACTCTAGGAATGTATTTTTAACAAGGGAACCAAAGAAGTAAGGATGAAGACGTTTAACTTGATGCAAAAATTAGTTTTGCCAGCTGGGAAACAGCGACAAGGTATGGTACTACAAGGCATTGGTAAATCAATTGTCCTTATTTGGACACGGTGTTATGTCATTTCCTTAAATATTACGAATATCACTCTATCATTCCATTGGCCCTGAATCTGCATAACATATTTACATTAAATTCTGTAATCAATATTTGTACTGATGGTACTGAACTCCCCACAGTGTCATATTGTGAATGAGGAATCCAATAGTGTGCAGCTACTACACTTGAATTCATCCATCCAACTGAATTTAATTTTCGTAGACAGGGGAATACAATCTATAGTAGAATACAGGTCATTACCATAGTAACCATAGCATGGTCTTTTTTAAGCGTTAAATTCAGACAAAATGTGGATTTACAGATTTGTGTGTGGAGTCTAATATCTCTGTTAATTTTGTTCAAACTTTGTGCAAATATAAATGTCATATAAGATGCTGATGCATATCAACTGGTAACAATAAAAACAAAAGAAACTGGTGCTTTTGTTTTTTATTTCCCAAATCTATTGAATTCAACCATGGCTCCATTCAGTGCAGCAAAGGTATCACCTTGGAAATAGAGGTTGATTTTTTTCAAAGATCAATTTTAACATAGTAGAAACTGTTGAATCAAAAAAGACAAAATTGAAGAATAATGTATACGTCATCTTATTCATGTTTTCATTATTATTGGTTAGCATAAAAACTCAATTAATTTACTCTATTACCTTTTTTATGCATAACACTGCATGTAAATCATTGATAACAAGGGAATTAGGAATAAAATGAAGCATGTTGCTGATTTTTTACGTTCACATCATGTTTATTGACTTACGTTCTCTATTGTCTTGCCGACTACACCTCCACTGATTACAGCCCGAGATTGCAACACATCATATCCATGTATTAAAACAATTATACTACCACAATTTTTGTTCATGGTACTGATAATACCATTAGGATGAAAATAAAAAAAATTAGGGGTCACCATCTTGTTTTTCTAGGAGCAAGACTCAGAATAGCCTGACAAGGTCTTGTGAGTTGTGCCCTCTGTGGTGTTCCAAACCCAACACACGCTTGACAGAACGATGTAGTTTTTCACTTCCCCCATTTTTTTTTGGTACCCAAACAAATTTCAGGAATGTCAGATAGTGACAGCCATCAAAGAGTAACCATTCACAGCAGAGTTTATTTGTTGATATACGGTAATGTGTGATAAGTTGCTGGTAAATTTCCGCCCAATGTTTATCATCTTGTTGAAAACAATCTGTGATTGTTGCCGACAATGCAAACATGGCTTTGATTGACGGTGTTACCATGACCACCAAAATGAATATTCATTGAAACTCATTGCAAGAAGGCGTGAACTTTGCGAATTCACAGTATTGATCTTGCTGACGAGACATACACTATTCTGTCAGGTGTTAGTGTGGTCTCATGACATTCAGTCGGCGAGGGCGCTACTCACCCACTCCAACATATCAGGCTGGAGTCTGAAATATCATGGAAAATAACTCACATTTTTTCTCTTGTTTCTATAGGTGAAATTATTTCTTCATATCACAGAATTTCCTGAGTGATATTTTCCAAAATTAACATTAAATTTAGTGAGATTCCATAAAAGTTCTCTCCCCAAATGCATTGCACAGATGTGCAGTAACATTCTCAGTAGCGCAAATTTTGAATTTGACTCAAACTATATTAAATACGAATACAGAAACGATTACTATCTCAATATAAATATCTCATTTCAGTTGTAGCCAACCTGTCTGACATCATAGCTGTACGTGTACAGGAAGAAGATATCAAATACGCTGGCAAAGGACATTACGTTGTGCTAGTGTTTGGTACTGGGTTTGTCATCCCAATTGCAGAGAGGTGTACAATAGGCGATAAAAAGTTAGTATGCCTTAGTATAATTGTTATACTCGATAATTGTTTTTGTATATTTTTTTTAAATGATTAAAATTAACAAATAAGCATTCAAAAAATGCATAGTTTATATTATGCAAATTTGAAAAATTTTCCAACTATCATTTCAATGGGAAAAATTGACAGCGTTCAATAGGGTTGTGAATCATTGATTAATTTAGTTCACTTTGAAGATTATAATTAATCATAATGGTTTAATGTGATGATGACATTGTATGTTGTTGTCCTTCCTCAAAATCCTTTCCCCCCTCTTTATTACATTCTATATACCGATAATTTATGATCAGGGAATATTAAGTTATGCAGCTTAGTTTTCCTTGCATATGAACACCTCATTACATGAACAACCTAGAACACTATCCCAGAGTTATTGAAACCGAAATCATCATACTAATTCAGAAGGCAAGACAACATGGTCAATTTTTTACAAAGTTCAGTTACACCAGGCTGCCACAATCTCTGAAGGCTTTCTTGTTATTTCTATAAATGTACATTTGTCTCGCAATTCACGATCGTCATGCAATTCACACGACTTCAGATAGAATCTTTATCGCATATCACATCACATTACATGCTTAAAGCAGGAGGGGAGTCACCTGCGCACGTGTGAGAATTGAGTTCCAAGCGACGCTAACAACACACGCTAAAAACGCAAAGGCTCATGGATAGACACTTGTTTGTAAACAATGACATGCTATGGCCATCTGACGCATACAAGGTGACGACGACTCCCTCGCTTTAACTTTAACTCCCATATTTAATTTGAATTTTGCATGAGACAAATAATATTTTCATTTTCACAGTGAACATGAGGCTTTGTGCAGAGAAATCAAACTATTCTTGAATCTGAATGAGAAGATGACGACTGATGATCTTGGATATGAAGATGACATATCATCCTCCGATAGCGACTATGACACTGAAAGAAATGGCACCATAGAACATGTTGCTGAGACAAACCACTGAATATTATAATTAGTTCCTGACAGACAAACTTTGTTTGTGGTATGAGTTTTGTCTGTCCATGAATTTCACCGTCCATGTCGTTAATGAATATAGTTCACACAATGTAGTTAAAACAACCAGAGAACAAACATAGAGTAATAACTTGTGAATACTTTCAATTTTGATGCCATTGGTCTCTTTAACATGCCATCCATATATTGGTTAAAAATGACTGACTGGCAGCCATAAAACCCAGGACCACACAATAAAACTTAGCTGGAATGTTATAAGCTGTTCAAATCTGTCTCTTTTGTATGGTTACCTTTATTTTAAACATTGATGACGTTTTTCATTGAAAAGAATAAATATTTTTAATACATGATGTCTAATGCCAAGACTTGAACAAATTGGAAACTAAACTGGCGGTGTCAACAATAACGACTTTTTTTATAGTACAGTACGTACATTTATCTAAGATGTTATTTTTATAATTAATGGTTTTTTGTTTTGTAATTTTGTATTGCAACTTTTTTGTATTTGTCCTTTGTAGTCAAAAATTGCATGTTTTTTGTTACAGTAAGATAGTATTGTAATTTTTGAATTTTATCTATTTACCATTATTATACATCTGGCAATGAATGGAACTTAACAATCCATGAAAAATGTATGGATACTTTTGATCAAAAGTGTTTTGTATGTTTTATGCATATCTTCCGTGTTTGGAAAATATGTGTGTTAACTTTTCTTTTTTTACTATTTATACTGGCTGTTATACTTTACTGAGCAGAAAAAGATGTATTTAATAATAGTGATATCAGGAGAATATGCATAACCACACAAACTGAATTGTTACTGAATTCTCATATTTTCCATTTATTTAGTTTTAAGGTAGAGATGCAGGTTTGTGGGCACTTTGGAGTCAAATTTTTTTTTTTTGCTTTTTATTATTCAAAACGTCTTGGCTATAGACTGTTGAAATTTTGTGGAATTGTGAATAGTGGAACATACTCAAAAAACAATTTTAAAATATAGATAACAGGTGCAAAATTATCTCTTTTGAATGCTTAGCAAGATTTAGCAAGGCTGTACATAAATAATAAAAAAAAAACATAGGTAAAAAGAAAGAAATGACGGGATCTCCATATTATGTACTGTATTTAACTTTTTACAAAACGATAATACATTTAAATTT